CTTCTCTATTAAACTGTATTTTCACAGGCATGGTCACGCATAGTTACACACAGATGATCAGGTAGTAGGGGGTTGACAGAATTGATCTAAATCGTACGTGGACTAGATGGTGTTGATTTTCAAACTGCGATCGATGCGGGGAGGATATCGATACGATGGAATCGAGGGAGAAACGCGTTTGTTATACGACTAGCCTCTATGTTTGATTCCCAAGTCCTGTCAATTTCTTTATATATATATATAAAACATTATTTACACTTCGACTCCCTGGTCGGGGATGTCTAAACTATCGTTACAGACGTATCGGATAAATAATAAGATAGCAATAAATAGATCGATTCAGGAACTATAAAAAAAAAAAAAGAAAAAAAAAAAGAAAGGAAACAGGATGATTTCGCTTTCTACATAATTCTTGGATCGAGGGAGGGAAGGTGAGAGAGGATAGAAACGAGGATGAAAGGAAGAAGAAGAGGAAGATGAGTGAGAAGGAAAGACAGTTTACGCGAACAGGAAACTAAAACTTATGATCAATGATGATATCCAGAGTACGCCTGGCTCTGCGCGTAGCCGTGAGAATCGTCCCACGAGTTGGCCGAGGAAGACCATCCGCTCGCCACGGGGGCGACCCATCCGCCGTTGTTGCCGCCGCCAACCGTTGTACGGGGTGATGTCGTGAGAATTCTTGGACCAGAGCGCCTTGAGGCCGAAGAAGGCGGAAATGGCGAGCGAGATGAGAGAGGCGAAGATGGCCTTCTTGGCTATCAGGCCGATGGCGAAGTAGGCGAGGGTGGCCAACGCGCCGATCTTCACTTTCGCTGCGATCAGGAGGGGCAGGATCGATTTGAGTATCTTCTTCCTACCTCGGCCTGGAAAAGTTGAATTGAATCAGAAGAGGACGGATTATCGTCTAAAATTGCATCTAAAAAGTTTTTTTTATCAAACACGTACCCTCGACGACTTCGTCGACCGCCTGGCGGACCTCTTCCGGCGCCGAGTCGCTGATGGCACGCGCGGACTCTCCGATCTTCTCGAAGGCGGGGGCAAAGTTGATCTGGAATGAATCGGATCGTCGAGATTAGCGGAGAGGATACTGTGTCGTGGAAGACTGACTACTGTTGTTATTTACCCTAAGGCTGCGACCGGTCAACAATTGGCCAGCCTCCTCGCTCACGAAGTTCTCGAGAGCGTTCTGCCTGTCCGTCACACTGTTCGCCGCGTCGATTTCCTGCTCGTACATCAGCTCCTTCCCACTCCTCGACCCTCTCCCCTGCTCGTTCTTCACCAGGCTGACACCGGTGAACAGCTCCAAGCTGTCCTTGTCGAAGAACTCCTTCGCCTTCCTGTACAGGCTCTTCTGCACGCAGGAGATGCTGTCGCTCTGCAGACAATCGTCCAAACTCTGGCCACCGGCCACGACGACCGTCAGAACAGCGATCGATGCCAACAACGGTAATATCTTCGTCATCTTCTCCTTCGACGAAACGGAAAGTCGAGATGTGTATGTGTGTATATATATATATATATAGAGAGAGAGAGAGAGAGGAGAAAATATATGTACGCGTATTTCGAATCACGAAACGGCGGCCGAATTTTCCCGAAACCCGTCCCGTCCGTAGTGAAATTTCGTGTGGTCCATCCGTGCAATCTCTTTACCTTATATATTTGGCGGGCCCCTCCTCTCGCGCGTCACCGCCCCACCCTGTCTCTTTTTTCTTCCTATTTGCCGTGGGACGTGTCGTCACAATGCTCGGACGGGCGGCGTACGGGCCGTTTAACCGAGGGGCCCAACCGAGGAAAGTACTCGAGCGAGGCGGGCGCGGATAGGTGTTCCACCACGGCGTCCACAGCCGCCCATCCATCCATCCACCACGACCTGCGACCTGCCCACGGATAACGGATAACGGAGAGAAGCGGGACCCCGTGAGAGAACGAGGAAAACCGTTCCCTTTCATCTCCACTCGTCGTGGCCACTCGGCGAACGTTTCGAAGGGAAAATTCGATTTGGATCGTTTGGGCAAGTAATTCGTCGTACGAAGATGACCCGGTTTCGACGAACCATTATTCAACAGGTTTTACAGTTAGCGATCGGGTAATAATAAGAGGCCAAGGTATCGGTAACGGATTGAATTGTGAAATATCGAGCGTGAATATCAAACAGATTAAGTTGTTACGAACGGTATTAAAGAAGAGATCGAATTGACAAGACGAAAAGTATTAAGTTGCAAACCTCGGGTGAAAATATTATTCAGATTTCAATACCTCTGCCGAGGTTTTCTCCTCGGCAAGAAGCGTCGGATGAAGTCACGCGGAGCAATTAACGGGGATCCTCCAATTAACAAAGGCTGTTGTTAGAGAGCTTAACGGCGCTAAACGCACGGTGGACAAGATCCGATTGGGAAAGAATGGAGAGAGAGAGAGGGAGATCTAGTCTCCTCCAACACGAGTCGTCCAATTCTCGAGGGGACGACTTCGTCATTCTATCTCTATCTCGCGAGATAGCAAAGTAAAGTGGAGAGTCTGGTTGAATCGTGATTTCCGGAGGACGAGGAAATTGACGCGTGCGAACTCTCTCTCTTTCTCTCTCTCTCTCTCTCTCTCTCCTCGCGTGAATGAAAGAAAACTGGTATAGATCAGGTTCAAACATCCCGGATCCGACCTTGATCGCGCGCGGACACCACTTTCTACTCTGACCCCGGCCGCGGCTGGCTCTCACGAAGGGGCCCCTCGTTGATAATGACACGAAACGCCTCTTGTCGTTTTCGTTTCGCTTCCTTTCGACCGCGAGGAATTTCGGTTGCGAAACAAACCCACCGTGGAATTTCCTCCTCGCCCGAAATTCCGAGCTCGTGCAACGATATTTATATACGTTGGAAGGAATCTCGAAAATCGATCTTGGAGGAGTAGATCACCAACTTTTCGATTTTGAATCGATTCGAGTTTTCTCGAGAGAGAGAGAGAGAGAGAGAGAGAGAGAGAGAGAGAGAGAGAGAGAGAGAAATAATATATTA